TATCGATGTATAGTTACTTGTATTCGAGCTGAGAGTGATTGCAAAATAAACTAATCAAGTTAGAGAAATAAACTGACCAAAGTGGTATCCACTTTGGTCAGTTTATTTCAAATGAACTGTATCAAAGGAGGATAATGTAAGAAAAGCAAAGAGAGATCTCACAGCCATTAAAGAGTCCTCATGAAAAGGAAGATTTTAATATGACTTACGATTATTCATTTTGTTCTGACATTTCAATATATTCAATCGCCAGAAACATCTACAGTCATCTGCTGGACTCAACGTATAAGCCATATCATCATATTTATATGAAATATATTATTTATATGAAATATATTACACAAAGGCATTAATTAGGATGCTAACAAAAGAACTATTTTAAATATTAGAAAAGCTTTATTTACACGATAAAATTATTCAACTTCTTAAAAATTAAATTCACCCTAAGCAAGGCAGTAAAGTCACTAAGACACAAGAGGGTTACTGAGTGTGGAACAATTCAAAAATATAAACATTACTAAGGAAGGGAAACAAAAGAGGAGTAATCAAAATGTATGTAGATATTGATTGAGTTTGCATTTAAATTTTTGAAGATCAAACTGGAAATAATGGAGCTAAGCACAAGTGATAGGTACACTGCAAGAAATAAACTGTTAGCACAGAACTTACGATTATATTAAGTCAATTGTAAATTGATGAGACCTTACCGCCAATCTAGTACTGCGCATAAATTTATAATGACGAGGTAACATAGCGAATTATTCGTCCGAACAATTCGCATGAAATTTTTTGTATAAAAGTTACAGAGAAGCAACATTATGGCGTTGTGAGTGAAGCCGAAATGCACCACTACTTCTTATAAAACTAGAAAAACTAACTCAGATTTATGTCTTTATTTCTGTACATAAAATGGACAAAAAAGAGGTCCGATCAGTTAACAAGTATCTGCAAAAGAAATTTATTACATCCAAGGAAATACATGAAACAGACAATTGCTAAGGATTGCACTTCTTATGCAAATGAGAAGTGGTTTGGGGAATTCAAGCTGGTAGCAGCGACACAGAAGATACCCTACAGTCGGGTCGTCCGAAAATCTCAACCACTGATGAACAAGACGTCTTCGTGTCTAGCAGATAGATAAGTCTATAGACATTTATTCTGGTTCATACCCTACTGTTTCATCTGAGATATTGTGGATGTGCAAGTTGAATCCCAAGAATGCTGAGACCAGAACAGAAGCTGAAAAGGGTTTACATTTCCAGGACATTTCTGACTCGCTTCCAGGCTGACTTTGAGAATGTCCACCGCAGATTACTAACTCAAGATGAAACCTGAGTTCTGCCACTTCGAATCTGAATCAAAGCAAACAAAGGAAACACTGGTTTCCCACCCTCAAAGAGGTTAAAGCAGATAACGTCTTTTGGCAAGGTGATGGCTTCTGTTTTTTTCTTTTTTTTTTTTTTTTTTTAGATTCTGAAGGCGTAATTATGATAGACTACATTGAAAAAAAAGCAGTAAAGCGCCATGAAGTGTCATGGTACATAGAAGAAGAAGAAGAAGAAGAAGAAGAAGAAGAAGAAGAAGAAGAAGAAGAAGAAGAAGAGTTAGCAAGCTTGACATGCTCGATCAATCATGGGTGAGTATTGCATTCAATTGTTGTGTATATTGTTATATACCCCATCTTACACCCTTGTGCAAATTAATTGAAACAAAACGAATAATATCATTATTATTTACTTTTTTTCGTACTTTTTCCAATGAACCATGACCCAGTGTACATGTTAGTACTTTGTATGTCCATTCCTCGAATTCATTTTCGATTAGATTTAAATCAGTATTACAATTTTCTTACGCTTCCTTGGAGTAATGTCCATCGCAGACAATATCTGTGGGACAAATAATCGACAGCTGAGACAATAGTGTCTGATGCCATCACGGATGACGGAATATTTTTCAAGGCCAAAAAAACTTCATCATACACCCCGAAAATAGATTCATATTATGCACACCAGTGCATGAGGAAAAAATAGAAATCACCCTGTCTAAAACTGACCGTATAGTGAAAGAGAGGAAACTAAAACGGTTGTTTCAATTAAATTGCATAAGGGTTTAGCCCTGATTAATAAATCGCATGATGTCCATTCAATTAATTAATTCATCGTCCATTTTTATTCACCTAGGCTTTCTATTGGCAACCGAATAACCAATTATCTTGTCAATACATCTCTTTGTTTTCGTTTTACATTTCAGTATAGTCTTATGTTTTTCGAATGTTCTAATTTTCTTATCAATATAGTACTATCTACAAGGTTATCAAATTCATTGTTTTGTGGAGTGAGAAGAGACATTTTCTTCGCCTACATTTTTTTAGGTCTTTATTTTTTCTTCTTTTTGATTTTGTCCTTCCTTTCACTTCTTCCTCTATTTTACTTTTTCCTTTCGATTTTTTCTTTGTATATTAAACAATATTTGTTTTCATCTCAATGTTTAATTCTTTTTCTTCTTTTCCTTTTTCCTCTTTTTCTTCCTATTCTTCTTCTTCCTCTCCTTCTACATCATTTTCACCTACTTTTTCCTCTTCTCTTTCCTATTCTTCTTCTTCCTCTTGTTCTTCTTCTTTTTCTTCTTCTACGTCTTCATCTCCTTCTTCTTCGTCTTTTCGTTCTTCTTTTTTCTTCTTCTTTTTCTCCTCCTCCTTTCCTCTTCTTCTTCTTTTTCTCCTCCTCCTTTCCTCTTCTTCTTCTTTTTCTCCTCCTCCTTTCCTCTTCTTCTTCTTCTTCTTCTTCAACTATTCCTTGCTTCCCACCATTTCTCGGGTCTTGTTCCCACACTTCTATTGTAACTTTCTTTCCATCCCGTTTCGCCGTTCTTCACGATTTTCTTTTTTTATTTTTCTATTTGGTTATCTTCGTTTGTAAATTCAGAAATTTCTCCAAGATTATCATATTCTTCATTTTTGCATTTTCTATTTGAAATTTCAATGACAACTTCCTTCTTTTGCTTCTTTAATTTTTCATTCTTTCGTTTTTCCTTATTACTCGCTCCTTTCTTATCCCTTCCTTTTCTACTTTTTTTCGATTATCCTACTGCACTGAACAATGTTGTCTTTTTTTACTATCTTTATTTTCTTCTTCTCCTTCCGCTTTCTCTTTTTTGTATACTTCTTTATGTTATTTATTTACTCTTCTTCTTTTCCTTCTCCTTCTCCTTCTCCTTCTTCTTCTTCTTCTTCTTCTTCTTTTTCTTCTTCTTCTTCTATTCAGTTTAAATTTTCTTGTTTTTCTTGTCTTTCTTTTTCTCAATCTACATTCTTCTTTTTATTCTTCTGCTTCTTCCCATTCTACTTTCTTCTTCGTTTACTTCTTCTTCACATTCTACTTTCTCCGTCTTCTTCTTCTCATTCTACATTCTTTTTGGTTTTCTTTTTTCTACCCGTTCTACATCATTCTTCGTCTTCTTCCTATTAATCTACTTTCTTCTTTGTCTTCTTCCTCTTCTCCTTCTACTTTCTTCTTCATCTTGTTATTATTATTCGTTCTTCTTCTTCTTCTTTTGTCTTCTTCTTCTTTGTCCTCGTCTTCTTCTTCGTCTACTTCATCTTCTCATTCTTCATCGTCTTCTTCTTCTCATACTACTTTCTTCTTCATTTTCGTCTTTTTTTTCTTCTCATTCTACTTTCTTCCTCGTCTTCTTCTTCGCATCCTACTTTTTTCTTCGTTTTCTTCATCTCATTCTACTTTCTTACTTCCTCTTCTCATTCGCCTTTCTTCGTCGTCTTTGTTTTCTTCTTCCTCTTACCATTCTAATTTCTTCTTCGCCTTTTTTCTTCTTCTCATTCTACATTCTTCTTCAACTTATTTCTACTTTTTTTCTACTTTCTTCTTTTCTTCTCCTCATTCTGATTTCTTCGTCTTCTTCTTTTCATTGTTCATTTTGTTTTTTTTTGTTTTTCTCTTTCTTCTCATTCTACTTTCTTCTTAGTTTTCTTCTTTTTCTACTTTCTCCCTCTTCTTCTTAATCTACTTTCTTCTTCTTTGTCTTCTTTTTCTACTTTATTCTTCGTCTTCAACTTTTTCGTCTTGTCATTCTTCTTTCTTCTTCGTCTTCTTCTCATTATGCATTCTTCTTCTTCTTCTTCTTCTTCTTCTTCTTCTTCTTCTTCTTCTCGCTCTAGTTAATTGTTCGTATTCTTCATCTGATTCTACTTTCTTCTTCCTCTTCATCTCATTCAACTTTCTTCATCTTCTACATCTTTCCATTCTACTTTCATCCTCGTTTCCTTCTTCTCATTCTACATTCTTCTTTTATTTCGTCTTTAGATTCTTCTTCTGCGCATGCTACTTTCTTCTTATTCTTTCTTTTCTTCTTCTCATTTTTCTTCTTCGTCTTCTTCTACTTTTCATTGTGATTTTTTCTTTGTCTTTTTCTGCTTCTCGTTCTTCGCATTCTACTTTCTTCTTTGTCTTCTCATTCTAGTTTCTTTTCCGTCTTCTTTTCCACATTCTACTTTCTTCGTTTTCTTTTTCTCTTTCTACTTCTCATTCTACTTTCTTATTCGTCTTCTCATTCAAACCTTTCTTCGTCGTCTTCTTTTTCTCGTTTTACTTTCTTTCTACTTTTCTAATTCTTCTTCTTCTTCTTCTTCTTCTTCTTCTTCTTCTTCTTCTTCTTCTTCTAATTTGCTTCCTCATCCTTCTCCCTCATCTACTTACTCTTCATATTTTTGTTTTCATTCTTCTTCTTTCTTAGACTTCTCTTCTTCTCAATCTACTTTCTTTATCGTCTTTTCTTTATTCTTCGAATTTTAGTTTCTTCTTCTTCTTCTTCTTCTTCTTCTTCTTCTTCTTCTTCTTCTTCTTCTTCTATATTCTCCTCCTCTCCCCACTTAAATATGTTCTTATCTCCCATCCTCTTTTTGTCTGTTATTTCCAAATTTCTTTCCATAAATATTTGTTCCGACCTCCAGATTAAAAACGAACTATTGTCATCTTTCCCATTGGTTAACAGCTGGTCAAGCAATCGGCTATCCCCTGGGCTGGGATGACCAGGGAAGCGGCACGCAATACATCGGAGAGACGATGCCGGGTGGCGTTGGAAAGTGTTTGAGGCTATAGGGTTGATTGTTTGGATTCCGGGCTCTTATGTGCTGAGAGGCACAGCTGTCACCCGTACAAACTTTGCTCGTTGTGTAATTTCGTGTGTCACCCTAAGACCCTAGAACAACGAAATGGGACAAGGATTAAGAGAAGATAAAGGGTTGGAGGTGCCATGATTCGTTTATTAGAGAAGAAAGAAGCTGTGGATCGAATGAAAACTGGAATGAAAGTGAGAGGTTGGTGGAGATCAAGCTTAGAGGCCTTTTTATTGAAGAAGAAGAAGAAGAAGAAGAAGAAGAAGAAGAAGGAGGAGGAGGAGGAGGAGGGGGAGGAAAAGAAGAAAAGGAAGAGTAGGAGAACTAGAAAAACCGATAGAAGAAAACGAAGAAGAGGAGGACGAAAGAAGCAATTGTTAGATGCATCAGTAGGGAGAGAAAAAAGATCGAAAAAATAGAACTTAGGAAAGGAACAATCGAAGGAACGCGGTGGCGATAAGGGAGGGGGTGGTCATGATGATGACGGGGAAGGTGGTTTCGATGCTAATGATGAAGATGGTGCAGGTGCTAATGATGATAGTCAGGATGATTATAGCTATGAAGACAAACATAGTGATGCTGATGGCTGTGGCGATGATGTTGCTGGTGGTGGTGATAGTGGCGGTGATTCAGGTGAAGGCGGTGGTGGAGATGAAGGAAGTTATGATAGTGGCCATGATGTTTATTCTTGCGATGGCTGGTAGGACGATGATTGCAATGATGATGATGCTTGTTGATTATAGGTTGCTCATGACACTGACGGTGGTGGTTGTGCCCGTGGTGATTATAATTAGGATTACTGACTATGATGATAGTAATGGTGTCGATGGTGATTACAGTTATGATTGTTGTCGCACTGAAGGTTTTGCTTATGACAATAATGGTGATGATGATGATTGTGACGCTGGTGGTGTTAGAGGGAGGATAAATTTCCATGGGGAACGTTCATGGTAGTGAGTATAGTGATGACGATGATGATGCCGCTTGCTGTTGCTGATGATCGCTGTGATGCTGATTATGATGATAGTAGTGGTGATTACTATTGTGATGATGCGATAATGGGGGTGTGGTGGTGGTGAAGAGCGTTATAATTGTGATGGTGATCATGATGAAGAAGATGATGATAATAGCGCTGTTCAGGGTGACGGTGGCTGTGGCCGTGGAGGTGGATGTGGTGGTGATGGTTATTGTGAATATAGGATGGCTGTGACTGCAAGGGTGACGTTGGTGGTGGCTGAGGAAGTTGTTAATTGCTGATCGTGTTGATGTTGATGGTGGTGATTGATGATGATGATGATGATGATAATGATTATGATGATAGAAGTGGTTATTAGTATTGTGATGATGCGATAATGGTGACTGTTGCACCACGGAGGGTGGAGGAAATGGAGGTGGAGTTGTCGGTTTTTATAGTTGTGATGATGAGGAGGAGGATGAGGAAGATGATGCTGACAACGACAATGTTGATTAAGATTATTATGATAATGCTGGTGAGAGTGGCGGCGGCTGTGGCAGTGGAATTGGTGGTGGTGGCGTTTATAATTGTGAGGATGATGGTGATGAGGAAGAGGAGGAAGAGTATGATGATAATGATGAAGATGATGATGATAGTGTTGTTGAGGGCGGCGGCGGCTGTGGCAGTGGAGATGGTGGTGACGGCGTTTATAATTGTGATGATGATGATGATGATGATGGCGGTGATTTTGGTGTTCGGTTTAAAGGACCAAGTATCAAGCTGATGCGGGACTAAAGACGAATGATTAGGCAAAGTATCAAAATAGAAAAGGAAAGAAAATAAAATGGAGAAAGAGGTATGTGGCTTATTACAATAAGGAAGAGGTTTCGACTGAAAAAGTTGTCGGGAGAATGAAGGCTAGGGGTTGAATCGATAAATTATACGTGGGCAGATAATGAAAACAAGGGAGAGACGACAAATAAAGAGTACATGTTAAGAAGATGGTTGAACAGATAACTGGTCGACTCAAAGGAGCAGAAACTAACAAACAAGAAGAAGAAGAAGAAGAAGAAGAAGAAGAAGAAAATCAATAAAGAAAAATGGAATAAAATTATCGACCATAATGAAAGTGGCGATAAAAGGCCTGGACGATTTCGACGCCGATGCTTCGCACTTTCTCGTCAGCGTAATGGACGGAGTCGTGTTTTCTCGCTGCCGATTCTAACAAATAAAAACCAAGCTTTGTGGATGAAATAGGATGGCGGGCCACGCGGCTATACGGCCGACTAAGCTTCTACGCCGTCACACGTCGTGCCTTTGTCAACCACAGCGCTATAAACATGTCACATCCTTTTTTTAAACCTTTACTTCATTTTCTAAAGATTTTTCACTTTTTCTTTTCATTTTTTTCTTTCGCTTAGTTTGTTTTCGGGCTGAAGTTTCTTATCTTTTCTCTCTATCTTTTTTGATCATTTCCATTTTCATTTCCTCTCGATATCATCCTTTACTTATTGTCGTACGGAAATTCATTCATTTTTCTTTCTTTTTCATTTTGGTCAAGGTCTCGTCTATTACTTTTTGACGGGAGGGAATTCATTCGTTTTTCTTTCTTTTTCATTTTGGTCTACATAACGTCTTTTACTTTTTGTCGTCAGGAAATTCATTCGTTTTCATTCTTTTTTTTATTTTGGGCTAGATGTCGTCCTTTATTTTTATCTCTAGGAAATTCATTCATTTTTCTTTATTTTTCATTTTGGTTTAGATCTCGTCCTTTAGTATTTGTCGTCAGGAAATTCATTAATTTTTCTTTCTTTTTCAATTTGGTCTAGATATAGTCTTTTACTTTTTGTCGTCAGGAAATTCATTCGTTTTCAATCTTTTTTATTTTGGTCTAAATCTCGCATTTTACATATTGTCGTCAGGAAATTGATTCGTTTTTCATTCTTTTCACATTTCGGTCTAGATCTCGCCTTATAATTGTCGTCTGGAAATTCATTGGTTTTTTTTCCTTTTTGTTTTGGTCTAGGTCTCGTCATTTACTATTTTTGGTCAGGAAATTCGTTCGTTTTTCATTCTTTTATATTTTCGTTTAGATCTCGTCCTTTACTATTTTTCATCAGGAAATATGTTCGTTTTTCCTTCTTTTTCGTTTTCATCAAGATCTCGTCTTTTACTATTTTTGGTCAGGAAATTCATTCCTTTTTCTTTCATTTTCATTTTGGTCTAGATCTCGTATTATATTTTTATAGTCAGGAAATTCCTTCTTTTTTTTATTCTTTTTCATTTTGGTCAAGATCTCGTGCTTTACTATTTTTCGTCAGGAAATGCATTCGTTTTTCATTCTTTTTCATTTTGGTCTAGTTCACGTCCTTTACTTTTTGTCATCAGGAAATTCATTCGTTTTTCTTTCTTTTTCATTATGGTCTAGATATCGTCATTTACTATTCTTTTTCATTTTGTCAAGGTCTCGCCATTTACTGTTTTTCGTCAGGAAATTCATTCGTTTTTCATTCTTTTTCATTTTGGTCTCGATCTCGTACTTTATTTTTATCGTCAGTACATTCATTCGTTTTTTAATTCTTTTTAATTTTGGTCTAGATCTCGTCCTTTACTATTTTTCGTCAGAAAATTCATTCGTTTTTCTTTCATTTTCATTTTGGTCTAGATATCGTCCTTTACTTTTTGTCGTCAGGAAATTCATTCGTTTTTCATTCTTTTTCATTTTTGTCTAGATCTCGTCCTTTACTATATTTCGTCAGGAAATTCATTGGTTTTCTTTCTTTTTTATTTTGGTCTAGATCTCGTACTTTATTTTTATCGTCAGGAAATTCCTTCCTTTTTTATTCTTTTTCCTTTTGGTCTAGTTCTCGTCTTTTACTTTTTGTCGTCAGGAAATTCATTCGTTTTTCATTCTTTTTCATGTTGGTGTACATCTCGTACTTTATTTTTATCGTCAGTAAATTCATTCGTTTTTTAATTCCTTTTAATTTAGTCTAGATCTTGTCGTTTAGTTTGTCGTCAGGAAATTCATTCGTATTTCTTTCATTTTCATTTTGGTCTAGATCTCGTCCTTTACTATTTTTCATCAGGAATTTCGTTCGTTTTTTATTCTTTTTCATTTTGTCAAGATCTCGTCTTTTACTATTTTTCTTCAGGAAATTCATTCATTTTTCTTTCATTTTCATTTTGGTATAGATCTCGTCCTTTATTTTAATCGCCAAGAAATTCGTTCGTTTTTCTTTCTTTTTCATTTTGGTCTAGATCTCGTCATTTTTTGGTCTAGATATCGTGCTTTATTATTTTTCATCAGGAAATATGTTCGTTTTTCATTCTTTTCCATTTTCATCAAGATCCCGTCCTTTCCTCTTTTTTGTCAGAAAATTCATTCGTTTTTCATTCTTTTCCATTTTGGTCAAGATCTCGTCCTTTCCTCTTTTTCGTCGGGAAATTCATTCGTTTTTCATTCTTTTCCATTTTTGCCTACATCACATCTTTTACTTTTTGTCGTCAGGAAATTCATTCGTTTTTCTTTCTTTTTCATGTTGGCCTAGATCTTGTCCTTTACTATTTTTCGTAAGGAAATTCGTTCGTTTTCATTGTTTTTCATTTTGGTCTAGATCTCGTACTTTACTATTTGTCGTCAAGTAATTCATTCGTTTTTCTTTCTCTTTCATTTTGGCCTTGATCTCGTCCTTTCCTCTTTGTCGTCGGGAAATTCATTCGTTTTTCATTCTTTTTCATTTTGGTCAAGATCTCATCTTTTCCTCTTTTTCGTCAGGAAATTCGTTCGTTTTTCAGTCTTTCATTTTTGCCTACAACTCGTCTTTTACTTTTTGTCGTCAGGAAATTCATTCGTTTTTCATTCTTTTTCATTTTGGTCAAGATCTCGTCTTTTCCTCTTTTTCGTCAGGAAATTCGTTCGTTTTTCAGTCTTTCATTTTTGCCTACAACTCGTCTTTTACTTTTTGTCGTCAGGAAATTCATTCGTTTTTCTTTCTTTTTCATTTTGGTGTAGATCTCGTCCTTTACTATTTTTCGTCAGGAAAATCATTTGTTTTTCATTCTTTTTCATTTTTGCCGACATCTCGTCTTTTACTTTTTGTCGTCAGGAAATTCATTCGTTTTTCTTTCTTTTACATTTTGCTCTAGATCACGTATTTCACTTATTGTCGTCAGGAAATTCATTCGTTTTTCATTCTTTTTCAATTTGGTCTAGCTCTCGTCCATTACTATTTTTCGTCAGGAAAGTCATTCGTTTTTCATTCTTTTTCAATTTGGTCTCGATCTCGTACTTTACTATTTTTCGTCAGGAAATTCGTTCCTTTTTCATTTTTGCCTACATCTCGTCTTTTACTTTTTGTCGTCAGGAAATTCATTCGTTTTTCTTTCTTTTATTATTTTGGTCAAGATCTCGTCCTTTACTATTTTTCGCCAGAAAATTCATTTGTTTTTCAGTCTTTTTCATTTTTGCTTACATCTCGTCTTTTACTTTTTTGTCGTCAGGAAATTCATTCGTTTTTCATTCTTTTTCATTTTGGTCTCGATCACGGCCTTTATTTCTTGTCTTCAGGAAATTCATTGGCTTTTCATTCTTTTTAATTTTGGTCTAGTTCTCGTCCTTTACTAATTTTCGTCAGGAAATTCATTCGTTTTTCATTCTTTTTCCTATTGGCCATCTCATCCATTACTTTTTACTCATTTGAAAATCTTTGAAGAAATTGATTCGTTATTTTTTATTGTTTTGTTTTCTCTTGATCTTATTCTTTTTATCTTCCAAATATCGTTTAAAAATTAATAGTTTTTCTTTCTTTTCTCTTTATCTTTCATTTTTTATTTACCGAAAATTTTTTCAATTTTTTTTTCCTTTTTTTTATATCAACTTCATTCTTACTATTTTATCTTCTGAAAATCGTTTGACAATTTTTTTTCTTTCAATTTTTTATTTTTGCATAAATTTCCTTCTTCCCTTTTCTTTTTAAATATTCTTTTTTTCTTTAACTTAATCTCTCTCTCTCTCTCTCTCTCTCTCTCTCTCTCACTCACTCACTCAATTTCTCTCATCATTCTCGCTCACTCACTAACTCACTCACTCCCTCTCTATCACCTACACTGTCTCTCACTCATTTTCTTTCACGCAATCTCTCTCACTCACTCTCTTTCTCTCTGACTTACTTTCTCTCACTCTCTCTCTCGCACTCACACTCACGCACCCACTCCCTCTCATTTTCTCTCACTCTCACTCTCTCTCACTCACTCTTTCACTTACCTTCTCATTCTCTCACTCTCATTTACTCTCTCACACACACTCCGTTTCTCTCTCAGTATCTCTCTCTCACTCCCTCTCTTTCTTGCTCACTCTGTCTCTTTCAAACACACTCTCACACTCTTTCCCTTCTCACTCCCTCTTTCTCTGACTTACTCATTCCCTCACTCGCTCTCATTTACTCCCTCTCTCACTCTCTATCTTCCTCACCCTCTCTCATTTACTCTTTCTCACTCCCTCTCGATTTCTCAGCTTCATTTACTCTCTCATTCACTCTATCTCTTTCTCAGTTCTTCTCTCTCTTTTCCTCTCTCTCTTTCTCTGTCTCTCTCACTCACTCTCTCTATCACTCTTTCTCACTCAATGATTCTCTCTTATTTACTCTCCCTCTCACTCGTTCTCATTTACTCTCTCTCTCTCACTCTGTCTTTCACTCTCTCTCTCTGTTTCACTTTGTTTTTCTTTGAAGTTTCTTTCGTCCATTGATCAATTTCAACATTCTCTTCAGTTTTTCTTTTCCTTTATTCTTTTTTCTTTCTTCTTCTTATTGTTTCTTTATCTCTTTCGATATTTTCTGTCTATACAAGTTCGCCATTTTTGTCAATTCATTTGTTAATGTAATTATTATTTACTTTCATTTTTCCTTCCTTTTTTTTTCTATTTCTTCTTTTTCACTCTTCAGATTCTTTTCTTTCTTTCTTTTTTTTTAAACGAAAACATCATCTACTTTCGGTTGTAACTTCCCTTCATTTTTTCTCATACCAAATTATCCTTTCTTCTGTCGACAGGATTTGTTTACTATATTCTTTTTAAGACATCGGTTTCTGTATTTTCAACGAAGCACAGTCTCTTCGTTTTTTCCTTTATTAATACAATTGATTAGTTTCACTCACATTGCAAAAAATAATATATATTGTATCGAAAAAATAGGCGCGCATCGGAAGACATGATATGCAAATATGTCATTAATATTTTCCCACACATCAATGGTGGCTACGTTTTTTGTCTTTTACCAAAAATAAGCTCAACTGCATCTTTTCTCTACTTTTTTTTTATAAACATTTTTCTTCCAAAAATTCTTCTTTTTTTTTACCGTATTAAGTTGTTCTTTCCACTTATTGGTTATCTGTCCGAATACCAATGGGATTAAGACGAACTTTCAACTTTTCTCTTTTTTGCTGATATTTAAATTCAGGCAATAAATACAGTGACAAACGCATCGTCCACGTGTCTCTTTTCATCCATTACTGCTTGATAGGGATTTTTTTTTCTTCATTTAATTTATTCCATCTGGGCGAAAAGAGAATAATAAAAAGAACGTTTGCCTTTCATTTAATCCGTAGAAATAATATTGGTGATTATATTTGGTTAGGCTGGTTAATGTAACGAGATATCAACACTTGCTTTGGGTTAATTAATATTGAATATGAATCTGAACGAAATCACAATTTACTAATAGATGTCTGGATTTCACTAAAAACAAAATGTTATATTTTGTATGCCCCAAAGTCAAAAAGTTAGACATTGGTCCGGTTTACAAACGATTTGAAGAAGCAAAAGAAGGTTCAGATTTAAAATAAAGTCAAAAAAGGTAAATTTCGACCCGGTACAAATTAAATAAGGATTCAAAGGCGAAGATAGACCCGGTTCAAATTCCAGACAAAAATGAAGGCATATGTTCAATTATCATTTGATTAAAATAAAGTAAACATAAGTCGGGATTACACGCGAATTAAAAAAAAAAAAAAGGGGGAAGACATGACTCCGCTTTACATTCGAGTCAAAAAGACAAACATAGTCCCACTTGATACTCACGATGCAAAACAAAATTGAGATAATCCCGCCTTGCACTCCTGTCAAATGAACAAGATTGATTTACACACGCAAAAAATGTACATATAAGCCAGTTTTACAGCAGTATAACAATGCGAATGTATGCCTGCTTAACATTCTTTTAAAAAAGGCAGACATATGTTTTGTTTACAGTCGTATTATGAATAATCAAGAGGGGTCTTCCCTTGTTTCGTTACTCTCCTCTTTGAGAGAGCTATTTCTGTTTACTGGGACTATAAAAGGACACTATACGCGAACCTTATATTCTCAGTTAAATAAAGCTTTCTTAAAACCTACACCTGCGTTCTTTTGTCATTACAAGGCGTACAAAATGTTGACTTATGTCTGCTTAACCTTCTTGTAAAAATGGTAGGCAAAGGTTTTGTTTACTCACGTGTATGAAAAACGGTAGACATATATCTTGTTACACTCGTTTAAAGAAAAAAATGTCGTCCTATGTTCAGATTACACTCGAGTAAGAACAAGAATTTCGACATATTTCCGCTTTACAGTTGAGTATAAACAATGATTGACAAAGGTCTGGTTTAGATTTGTGCAAAAACAAAAAGTTCGACATATGTCCGGTTTAGAGATGTGTAAAAATAATGGATGATATATGCCATACAACTGTTTAGAAAAATAAGAGATCGACATAGGAGTAGTTGTTTGCCATTATTTCTTGTTTAGAATTGGATTTCCGGTTCTTTATAATGACTACTCATTCTCTCTCTCTCCCAGTAACCCCTGGCATCTTAGTGGCATTATCGCCTTGTGGTCAATGGATTAAAAATATGCCCGGTTTACAGGCATATAAAAAAGATTTAGGTCTGATTTAAAACTCAAGTTAAAAAGGCCAGAGAGAGAAGTGAATTCGCTAGTCAAAAAAAAAAGGCATTCTTGGTCATGTATTTCATTATTGTTTTTATCATCTGATTAAGTTATAAATATCATTTACTTTTCTTTTCGGACTTTCTTTTTATCTGTCTATCTCAATCTCCCTCTCCATGTTACATCCAGTCTCCCACACATATTTTAGAAACCATCAAAACGGGCCGACATCCTGCTGGCGGGTTTTACACTTAAGTATATACAGGATCCAATTTTACTAACCCACTCAAATACAAAGTCAGCCAATAGTTACCTAGAGTCTAGATCGTGAGTCAGCAATTTACGGCACACGTGCCACACCTGGCACACCAAGCAATTTCCAAAGGCACGCAGCCACAAATGACATCACGAAGTCCGAATCAATAACAACGCAAAGATATTTAGCTGTTTCAATTTTAATATATACTAAACTATATATACTATATATTACCATATAGACTATATTGTAGAACAGGTACATTGACCTTGCATTGTATAAAAATACGTATGCTGTTGGCACACTAAATGATTTTAAAACCCTAAGTCGGCATAGAGTTAGCAAAAGGTTGCCAACCCCTAGTCTAGAAGATAAATGTTTAAATACAAACTAAATTACAAACCCGACCAGTGATTTCTTATAGACTTACAAATTAGACCAATATTTGTATATAGCCTAAAGTTTGAAGGTTTACTAAGACTCTCAAATTAAAACCCCACTAATATTTACCTCTAGCCCAAAGTATAAATGTTTGAATACAAACTCAAGTAGAAACCCGACTAATGTTTTCCTATCGACTCAAGTTGAAATCCCGCCAGTTTTTATCTATAGAGCCACAAATATAAGCCCAACAATGGTTGCCTATGGACTGAAGTAAAATTCAAACCAATAGATTCACGTACAAACCTAACGAATGTTTACTGATAAACTAAAGCATACACTCGCTTAACTATAAGCAAATATTAACCCGATTAATGTTTACCTATAGACGAAAGTAAAACTCCAACAAATATCTTTCTATAGACTCAGCTATCAACTGGATAGACTGAAGTCTAAACACCATCAATGTTTACCTCGAGACTCAAGTATGTTAAAATAAAACAGATAATGGCATTACATAACCCAACATTTGTTTATGCCATAAAACCCACCAAACCAATCCATTTTCAATTTTTGTTTCAAATAGTCTCGTTTTTCAGGTCTGAACGTAAAACAAAATAAACTAAGAATATGATAAAGGTTGTTGTTGCCTATGACAATATAAGAAAGGGCAAGACTTCAATCAGACTAAATTAAAACACACACTTTCCCTTTGGATCAAGTGTTTGTCTAAGATAAACACAAGCGCGTAAGATAACAGCGTAAAGACAAAGTCAAGTTCATCATGGTTCTTGCCACTTCAGTTAAGAAAAAAATACAGAGCATTTTACGTTTGAGCAAACGCGAAGAATGATTAAGAATTGGACAATGGTATAACTGTCTAGAATTTCCTGATGATAGAAATGAGTTTTAGAAATCCTTTCAAAGCCAAAAGCATATTTGATTTTTAAAGAGAATAGCCGAGCGGTCTAAAGCAAAGTCAATCAGATCTAGTGACTGTTTCCGCTAGACGAACGCAAGTTCAAATCCAGCCAGAAAATGCACATATGCAGGTCGGTAAACAAAAATAAATAAATATACTATTTAATAAATAAACGGTGCGTCTACTTTAATACGAGTATCCACTAAAGATAACGATTAAGAAATAATAAAATTTATGTATATATTTTCTGGATTTTCTAGGCTTTTCATGATAAATTCCATAGACCGTTTCCAAATTTATTTTCTTCTCAATTTCCATCGCGTTATGCCTCCATTCTTTCTTTACTTCTCTCTTTCTTTCTATCTATCTTTCTATATATACATAGTGTGATGTGTAAATTGTTGCCATTTCTTTATTTTTATTTCGCGCATGCGTGTTGTTTGATTTTGATTTTGACGACTGCACAGAACATTTGGGCACCGTCTGTAAGAAAAAGAGCACTATGATACAATTCACGCCGCCAGAAATTTGGAAACTGCATGCTGTACTGCTTGGCATTCGCACCGGAAGCTCCATTACGAACATTTCAGAGTGTCTAGGTGTCAATCTGAGGACAGTGCAAAGGATTCGAAAAGTGTTGGATGAGTCTAATGTTGATTAAAAATGTGTTTGGAGTGATCACTATTGAGAACGATGTTGTGCTTCCATTCATCTTCCGATAGGGCCTCAGATTCAACTCACCTAACTCCCCTGATAAGGTGACTGTCTACAACACTTACAGAAGATCCCGAAATTGTCTGGAGGCCGTGGTTGAAGGCAATGGCGATTTTGGTTGAATAAATTTACTCTTGCAAATTTTTTCGTAATTTTGGCAAATGTATCCCCTTAAAATTGTTATTTTAACTTCAGCGTTATCTAAACGACAATTTGTCCATCGCACGCTGTATTTATAGAAAAGGTGTAGGGAAGTTTATATACAGTGGGTGGGAGAAACATCTCTCTCTTTCTCTCTCTCTCTCTCTCTCTCTCTCTTTCTCTGTATATATATATATATATATATATATAATAAAAAAGGCTTAAACACTAATATTCCATGGTCATAATTTATTCCATTGGAATCGTAAATACGATCCAAATCATCAGACCTACAAATTCAAAATGAAAACAGAAAAAACAACTCCGAAATCAAAAAAACAGAATTTAGAGAAAGTGTAAGTATGAGGATGAGTGACAGAGAGAATTTTTGGAGATGTGGGTGGGGTGGATTTAAAAGAGGAGAGAAAGAAAGTCGACGAATGTCTAATACATAAAGATACATTTCGTGGTGACATATACACACCACAGACAATTCGGATAGGAAGGGAAAAAAAAAAAAAAAAAAAAAAAAAAAAAAGGGAAAGGGGGGGGGGGGGATGGGACGAAGGAAAATAAAAATGTGTTTACATAAAGGGCCGCTTCGTAATTGGGAAAATTAAATCAAATATAAATAT